AAAAAAAAAATAATACCTACATTTAGCTTCTTTTTCATTTTTAATTATTTAGTATTGTATAATATGGTTGGTGGACATGACATTATGCATTATGGCAATTAAGCCTCTGTTTGACAATATTCATAAATTTTATATATAAATAATCAAACTTCAATTTTAATTACATATTTCAACGGACCTGCAAGCACTATCAATATATTTATCACTCATTTGTATTTCCAATATAAACAAACCGTTTTTAATTAATTTCCATAAGTTACTTTGGACACTTTTTTGGACATTGAACTAACACACTTTACTATTGAGCTAGATATAGAATCACAAATGCTTCTCGCCTTCAACAATCGAATATTTGTCACAAGACACCTCAATAACTCTATCTTCCATACATTACTTCATCCCATTAGTACCCAAAAAATGAATGCATGTTATCAAATTCTTTTTCTAGAGATCCTAAAATTCCTTGACCAATACTTGGAACTATAAAAATTACATTAGGCCTGCTAAGGTAACTGTATAACACTTGACAACATTAAGAAAGGGAAAAAAAAGAAGTTAAATTTTGATTATGCGAAGTCTGAACCCTCGAGTCATGCGTACCAAATATGCTCATAGAGTTTTCCATCGATGATTGAAACAAGTGAAATATACAAAACAAAGGCCATAATTATTGTACATTGAACAAAATCAAGGCTAAAATGTGACAGTTATTCATTGAAATTTATTCCATGTACAGATTGAGACATAATTCAAAAAGAAAAAGAAAACTCAGGTGCACTTTGCACTATTATCAAAACCCTACAGGGACTTCAGAAAATAAAAAACAACTGCTGTTCTCAAATGGAAAGCCAAATTAACCTCAACTAAAATAATCTAACTTATTTTGACTGAAAGAGTCTTTTTTTTTTTTTCCAAATTGCTCAGGTCAACTGAATTTCATTCCTCTGTAGTCATAATTCTGATGTTGAGTTGAACCAAAGTTGTTGAAGAATGGCCCTCCTCCTGTAATTCCTTCATAATCTTCTTCATGAAGTCCATCAATCTACAAATCACATATGCATTCATATTATGAGTTAAGATCATGATAATTAATTCGAAGTTGAAGTAGGATTTTGTATATTAACGTCTTGTTAGAAAGCTAAACTACTTGTTTTGACCAAAAAGCCAAAAAGGGAATCATTTTTTGTCTTTTAAGCTAAGCCAAACATGTTCTTTTGAAACAAGATCGAAGACTAGATAAAATTGGACATGAGTAAAAACGATGTTTATGTGAAATATTTTCTTATTGTATTAAATTAAAATTACAATTAAAAATCAAATATTTTTAATGAAGCATATTAAGCCTCCCATTGAAAATCAAATTTATAAATTCAGTTAAAATCAAACATTAATTTCAACACATAATTACAGCTAATAGTCGATATTATTCAAAAATTTATGGGACCCACAATTATTCCTACAAAGAAATGCTAAACTTAAAGTTTATAAATTATTTATATCAATTAAATTATATAAAGTTGTGGAAGGGAAGAAAATAATACCCAAAGATCATCTTCGTCTTCATAACTACTAATCATTGATGCTTTGGGAATCTCTCCAGCTTCATCGTTGCGTGCGAATCTGCCACGTATTCTTGGTCGATTGTCGGCTAGCGTCTTCCGACATGCATACTAGTATTATTACAGAAACAAAAATCCCAACCATATTGTTAGCTTATCCTAAAGAAATCTTGTAATTGAGTAGATCAAGAAAATATTATTGAAAATCGAGAAGATCAACACAGTATTTGTTTAACAGTAAGATCTCTGAGTTCGATCTTTTAAATATTATTATAGTTCAATATAAAGATCATGAATGTCAATTCTCGTCTTCATTCGATAGGTTAAATAGATTTGGAGCCCATTCAAATTGTTAGTTTCACTAATACCGTCGGAGAAATGATATTTTAATGATTTGCTAGGTTTCATGTTGACTTTTTCTTTAGTCAAACTAACAAGTATAGATGAATTGACAAACTTAAATTAAACGTGCAAGTCTAGAGAACTTTAAAAAAAGTTCATGTAGTGAATAAAATCTTGCAAAAAGTGTAGCGACTACCCGTGTTTTTAACACGCCAAGTGATTAAAATTGTGGGCACGTAAAACATGAACTAGACATGCACGTAAGTGTCATGTTGATAAATATCAACATACCCATTGAATTAGATATAATTTTAAATTTCTCACGTGAAATCAGACAAATCGCGGTTACGAATTCACCATTCTTTCACAAAAACTATGCAAATATACAAAATGAATATGATGCACGTGAAGTACGTATCAATGCACCTTAATTGTCTTGTTGAAGTTTCTTTGGGTCCTTTTTGCTCTGTACCTATGAATCCTCTCTTTCCTCTCTTCTGCACTATAGCGCCCCACTTTGAAGTTTGCCTCCTCCATGTATGACTTCTCTGTTTGCAACTTTGTTCTCATCTTCTGAAAATGACAATTCAAACCAAATTTGAAGTCAAAATCACCAAAAATTCAAGGAAAAAAGAGAGCAATGATTTAATACGCTACTAGACCAAACAAAAGTTACTGAGTTCAACGTATTAGGCCTTTAGTGAAAAAAAAAAAAAACAAAAACAAAGTGCTCTTAAAGGGTTGTTTTGTGACAAAATTCCTTCCTTTTGCGACCTCGTAAAGGTTTAACACGGGATGATTCAATATAGTACCAGAATAAATAAAAATTACAAGTTTAACATTTTAGGTCTTTGAATAATGATACCACTTAGAAATCATCAAACAAAAGATAGAGAAGAAGCTAAAAGAATTGCTAAAATTTAGACAAACTGAGTATAAAACTAACGTGCAGATCTCCAGTGCTGGAAACCCTTCTCATTTCACCAGATGGAAAACTACACTCTGGTGAATTCCAGATTTGTTGCTGCAAATTTGAACATTCCAACACACTATCAAATCCAGGCTGAAACAAATTCTTTTGTTTCTCACCAAATGAATTGCTGCTAAAACTCCTCTGCATGAACTTCATTGCAATCTCAGAACCCCCATCATAACTTTGAGGCATAAATAAATTATTATAACCCGAATAACTCTCAAAAGGGACTGGAAATTCTTCTGATTTCACCTCTGAAAAAAGGCATTTTGAATTTTCTAAATGGGATATTGTGAGATTTTCAAGCTGGAAACTGGGTGGGGAAGAAGAAGATGAGAGAAGTGTAGATGAAATTTTTTCCAAAGTATTTGTTTCATCGAGTGGGTTTTTCTCTTGAATCAAATTTGTACTATTATCACTATTTTCTTGAAATTCTTGGAAAATATCAATGGAGGAATCATTAAATGGAGAGAATGGATCAGAGAAGAAATTATCAAGTACAAAGAGATCAGAAGACATTGAAAAAAAAAAATTGAATTGCAGTGACTTTTTTTTTTTTTTTTAAATTCTATAGCAATCCCTCTTTTCCACTGCGTGAAAAAATGAGTTGAGATTACTTGGTGAAGAAGGGACAATATTTGGAGAAAAAGAACAAGAAAATGAAGAGAGTTGAGGTGGGCTGGTTTTCTTTAACAAGAACTCTTGTCCATGATCAAGCAAGATGACAAAAATTCAATTTTCCTCTCCATAGACAACATAACATACACAGAGACAATATATAGATACAGAGTCCCTCAGTTGCTCGAAGAGTCCAAGAGACAGAATAAGTTGACCCAATAGTTCACTTTGAGAAAATTGCACGATTGGTTCACCGATTTATGTATTTGAACAAATATTTTCTTAATTTATAATTGGTGTGGTTTCTATGATGTTATCTATATCAACACTTTGGTGATTGGCTTGATCCCAAAAAAACAAAAAACTTAGGCCACTTGAAGCAACTTAATTAATTGAGGTTATTCATGACCCAATACTTTGGATGGCCCTTGTGAATTGGTGGTGATATATGAGTTAGTTCATCCCTTTGGTAAGTTGGCACTTTGGTTATATGGGCCACTTGGTGGATTTGTCTTTGACCCAATGTGATACATAACCTAACTATATATCCATCACGTTTCTTGTACCTTCAATGTGTGTATATTTATAATAGAGCGCAAGAGATTGAGAGACAGCCGTTCTTGAGAGCTTCTTTATATTCAATCATTGCTTCCCTTTCATCCTTCCTCCCTTTGTGATATTGTAACTATCACCACTATTATCCTTTGTGGGCATGAAACTTATGGCAACTAAGTGTAAGAGAATAGTTGTGGGTTGAGCTTTCTCGATTGGTGTTTGTTTGGTTGAAAAATGCAGGTTTCAAGATTTTGAAGTGTTTCCACTTACATGTTGTATCAGAGCATATGGGATTGAGAAATTTGTGAAAAAAATCGGGCAAAACCACTGGAAATAGACCAAAACGAAGTTGAAAACAAAAGCAGAAAACTGTCTAGTTTTCTTTCAAACTGTTGGATCTGTAAACTTGATTTTCAGCCAGAGCAATGGACATTTGGAGAAACCAAGGCTAGATTCTTGATCTGTTGGAGGAGGTATACCTAGATGGCCGGTGCATGTGGTGGTCCAATGGCGTGTGGGGGTTTGCAGCAGCGCATAGGTGGTTTTTCAGTGTCTTTTGACAGTTGTTCCCGGAGGCACGATGACCTTGCAATGGCATTTGTTTTGAGCGATATAGTGAAATTTGGACGATTTTGTCCTTGGACATTCAGGTGCCAGGTGTTCGTGGTTGCCGCATTTTCTAGAAAGTTTAGGGCAAATCATAGTGGCCCTAAAGCTATAAATTAAAATTTCTCTAAATTTATAGACCCTCAGACTTGGTCCGCTTTGGTAAATTGGTTTATCCCATTTAAACTCCAGTATTAGAAACTAGTAGTGTGGAGTGACATTAGGATTAAGGTTAGCGTGGTGGGGTAATAATTGCTTGTTGCTAGAATTTTGAATTGCATGCCCTATTTTGAAGTGTTGGATTTGACTTCAAGTTGATATTTGCTTCTGTGTTTAATTGTTACTTAAGCCACTTTGTGAGAAACTAATTTTGTTGATAAACGTTTGTGTTATATTGATTATTTCATTAAAACACTTGAACTTTATCCGTTTGACCATTCCCTTTAATATCGAGATCTCGAATCTCACAAAACCATGAGAATCTAAAACAGTATGTACTGTGACTTTAGGATTACTTTGTGTCATCTAATTGTGCATTTTGGTTGTTCTGTTTTCAAAAATGACTTCATATATTAAATTGAGATTTTTCAATGAAAAATGATATTTTTCAATCTGGCAACAAAAAATGAAGGAAATTTTGGTTCAACAAAAAGTTTCAAAAGTAATTGATGACAAGTTTTCTGCTGATTTAACAGAGGAACAAAAAGAAGAATATGACAAACCTACTTGCACTTCAATTATTACATCTATCTGATGTTGTTTTGATAAAATGTGAAAAACTTAAAACCACAAAAGATCTTCGAAAAAATTTGGAAGACTTATATTTGTTTAAGTCTACTCCTGACAAATTGTATTTACTCGAAAGATTTTTCATTTTAAAATAGATCATTCAGATGTTCTTGATGACAATTTAGACGTTTATAATAAACTTGTTCAATATATTGTTAATTATGATGAAAATGTGTCTGAATTACGAGGGATCGTCCAAAGAAAAATGATAAGTAGAAAGGCAAGGCGTGAATGTAGCCACTGATCTAGTTATGACTCGAGTGAAGTTTATTGAGAGTAAACCTAATTAGTAGTTGCTACATGCGCATCTGTGTGTAATCATTTCTGCATACATGATTGTTTAATTCTATAGCATTGTTATATGTTACAAGTTCAATCTGTTTGATGTGTGTAATTTCATGAATTTGATAGTGATCTTATTATTTTGTGTAATATTTTTGCATGCATTGTTGGGTTGGGATGCAATAGAAGTAAGTATCTATGTTGGTAATGTGGAGTGTAGATGGCTGATGGTGCACTGGTGATATGTACAGGGATGTGGAGAGTGACATTTAGATCACAAGAGGTGATATGATTAAATGTTGGAATCATCTAACTGTGAAAATCCTGATCGGGTGGAGTGTGAGATTGACACTCCTATAACTTCCATTAGGTGGAGATACATTATCCACTTAGGTAGTGATATAGAATCATCTCATGGACTTAGAATATATAGTGGTTTGCCAGTTAGACTTGAATAATTACCAGTCTAGTGAGCATGGTTGGCGATGAGATACATATTCTCGAGATGCTAGCTACATGGAATATGATAGAATAAATGTGGTTAACTTGTTATTATGATGTTCTTTGCTAGTTGAACATGTTTGGAAAGATCTATGTGTTATCCTATATTATATTTTTATCGTATATTTTTTATGCAGGAGGGTTTGAGTCAGATGCTGAGTTTTCAGATAACGCGTTAATGGCTCTACTGTATCACGAGTTGGTAGATCGGTGCAAGGATGGCAAGTGATCGCATAACTTTGACAATTGAGTCGTGTTTCGGTAATTTGGCTATAACTTTGGCTACGGTTATCAGAATCGCGATTAGGACCACAATCCGGAAAGCTCATTTCGGTGCGCACGTCGTTGCCTCCTAGATTTGCTCAGTGTGTGCTATTTTCATCCTCAAAATCCACTGTTTTCCCTTCCGAATTGTTATTTTTAGTTATTTTTTGCTATTTTTGGTAATATTTCGATTGCATGTTTGGAGATGATTTTTAACCCAATTTGGGCTAAATTTTTTGCAGAATACTTATTTTATTCCATATTTTCGTTTGGCGTGATTTTTGAAATTTTGCCATTTTTGGTAAAATTCGGATTTCGGCTATAAAGTCCGGCTTGTGGACTTATTTTGATCATTGCGTGATATAATAAAANGGTAAAATTCGAATTTTTGCTATAAAGTCTGGCTTGTAAACTTATTTTGATCATTGCGTGATATAATAAAATTCTCTGAACTTGAGAGACGTTTTCTTTGTATTTTTCGGAGTTAATCTTGTATTCTTCCCTGTGAATTTGCTAGTAGAACTAGCTTGCGGAATAATCACTATTCTGCCCGGCTTCAATTTTATATGCTCTTGATTGATTATTGTAATTATTTGTTTCTACTTGGATTTTCTTGAACTTGGCCTTGGTGAGAATATGGAGTAGGTGTGTTATGTGTTTCGGGTCTGAACACACTAGGTAAGGTTTGTGATTCCAATTTTATTTGGTTACCTTGATTAAACAAGTATAAACTTTGTGTTTGTTTGCTTGCAAGTTGATTGAGTATCAAAATGGAGATTTGTTGAATTTTGATACCCAATAAATTTAGATAATGATGTTAAAACGATGTTGAAAAATTTATATTGGCACATTAGTGATTAACTTGACCTGAAAACAACGTGAACCACTTGAAACAACTTAATTAATTAAGGTGGCTTTTGGCCCAACACTTTGGATCACCCATGTGAGTTTTAACCTTATTGGTAGTGATATGTGAGTTAGCCCATTAATTTGAAAAGTTGGGGCTTTGGATAAATGGGTCATTTTGTGGATTTGTCTTCGGTCCAAGGTGATACATAACCTAACTATATCAATCACATTTCTTGTAGCGTCAGTGTGTGTATTTATAATAAAGTGCAAGAGATTGAGAGGCTGACGCTCTTGGGAGTTTTTTGACATTCATCTATTGCTTCCCTTTCATCCTTCCTCCTTTTGTTATATTGTAATCATCACCACCATTATCTTTTGTGGGTGTAAAGCTTGTGGCAACCAAGTGTAAAAGAATAGTTGTAGGTCGAGCCTCCTCGGTTGGTGCTTATTTGGTTGAAAAACTGAGCTCGATTTCAACATTTCGAAGTGTTTTCACTTACATATGCTTTTGTACGAGTACATTCCATAGTGCACACCATTTCCTCCTGGTGGAAGAGAGCTTCGCAGATTGAATTGAACATCTCGGGATCAAGGCACATTCTCTTGTGTCTAGCATGTTGGATTCGTGAACTTGAGCATCTCACGAGGCCTAAGATCAATTATCTCTAAAGGCATGAGATTATCACTTTACTACTAAACACTACAACAAAGTTTGCTTTTTACGGCTTGCATTACATGCCATAAAAAGCCATTTATGGCATACAATTGAATACTTTATAAAGCCATGCTGTAAAAAATGGAAAGCATGCCATTAATGAACTTTTTATGGCCCTCCTCTTTTATGGCATATAGTGCATGCCGTAAAATAAAAAAGAATTACAACGTGCACACACACGCTGTGAAAACGATATTTTTACGACATACTTTTATTGCACGCCGTAAATGTCATTTAAAAAAAATATTTATTTGATTTATCAGCAAACTTATAATAATTAAAGAATAAGATTATATACATCCATATATAATTACATTTTTCATAATTTCGATTAACAGAA